TTCTTTGCTAAAAGCATCCCAGTGATCATCCTGTAAAACAAGGACAGTGACGAGGAGATGTGTCACAGGTGGCATGTGGCCAAGACGCCAGCTGCCTCTGGCCAGCCAGGACTCAGTAGTCACATTTCATGTGATGGGGGGTCAGGGCCCATAGCACTGTTTAAAGATTGTAAATCCCATTAAAAACAAAATAGCCAGTTCTGCTAAAGTGTATATAACCTGTCAGAGTCAAAAAGTTACTCACTCGAAACACATGTTTGCTGGGAAAGTGTCATCGAGTACCCTATTTTGAATATGTAGTACAGAAATACTAATATTTTAGTGGTGGTTTCCACTTATGATTTAATTTTTCACTGAGTATTCGGAAAAGAGCCCTGGCGGTATAGTGATTAAGTGCTCTGTTACAAACCAAAAGGTCAGTGGTTTGAACCCACCAGCCACTCTGCAGGAGAAAGATGAGGCAGTCTGTTTCTGTAAAGATTACAGCCTTGGAAGCCCTATGGGGCAGTTCTGCCCTGTCCTACAGGGTTGCTATGAGTCAGAATCAACTCAGCGGCAATGGGTTTGGTTTTAAGTTGTTTCTTCTACTTTGGTAATTAAATGTAAGTTTTACTCCATTTTTGGGGTCCTGGGGCAAGTTAAAGCAGCAGCCGTGTACAGGTTTTACGTTTGTTCAGTCGCCCAGCATGAGTGCTGCTGATTGTCATCGGGGCACGTGGGTAGCCCGTCCTGAGTTTACCCAACGTCACGTGCAAATAGCGAAGATGCTGCCTGTGGTTTTCGAAATTATCTCACCAGTAAATGTGTAGTTTGGAAAATTTCTATTTAAAAGGTTATCCATTGGTTGCAAGGAGTGTTTTAGTTCCCTCTCACATCACCAGTACTTGACCGTTGGTTAAGGGACTTCCACATTGCCTCTGGGTTCTGGTGTCCACCAGTCGGTCACCTGTGCCAATGTCTGTCCCAACAGGAAGCAGAGATGCTGCGTTCCATCTCCTTCCACCCGTCTGGAGATTTCATCCTTGTTGGGACGCAACACCCTACTCTTCGGCTTTACGACATCAACACGTTTCAGTGTTTCGTCTCCTGTAATCCCCAAGACCAGCACACAGATGCCATATGTTCTGTCAACTACAACCCTAGCGCCAACATGTATGTGACTGGCAGCAAGGATGGCTGCATCAAATTATGGGACGGTGTCTCCAATCGCTGCATCACGACTTTCGAGAAGGCCCACGATGGTGCAGAAGTGTGTTCTGCCATTTTTTCAAAAAATTCTAAGTACATTCTCTCCAGTGGAAAAGACTCTGTAGCCAAACTCTGGGAAATCTCGACAGGCCGTACACTGGTCAGGTACACAGGTATGTGACACCCTGGGTTACCCGGCATTCATGGGGCATTTCACAGTTCCCAGGACCCTTAGATGCTCACGAGAGACCAACCAGTCAGTCTGTGAGCTTGGGGTAAGAGAAAGCCGCAGCTTAGCGGTTAAATAATTTGGCTCAGGCTGCACTTAGGAGGAGGCAGGCCTGGAAATAACACCGCCGTTTCCTGCCTCTGCTCGTTGCAATAGGTCACCGCTCAGGGTGGACTGGGTTCCGTGGGAGTCCTGGAAGGAACCTGGCAGTCTTTGTGTGCCCACAGAAGTGTAAGCGCAGTCCAGAGAAAGGCTCAGGGCGTCTCGGGGAGGCCGCAGTCTGGGAAGGGGGAGCCGGAAGGGAAGGTCGTGGTCTGTTTCTAAGAGGGCAGAGGTGGCCTACAAAATGAGACCAGAGGGTTGGGCGCTTAGACAGACAGCGGACCCCTCAGACCAAAGCCAGGTTGAATTTCATTCATTCATGGGGTGTCCTGAGAAAGAGCCTGTGAGGCCTCTTTCTGGTGACATCTGTGTAAATCTGTCCTGGCGCTGGCAGTGCCTGTCCAGTTAGCACCAGTGAAAGCGTCATGCCGCTTCTGCTCCTGAAGCAGCAAAGACCAGTGTTTGGTGTGAAAAACAAGGAAGCGTCAGCATTGCCCAGTTGCCTGTGTGTTAAGAAATGTTTGTGTCACACACTAACGTTGCCATGACTGTCTCTCAAGAAATTCACAAGAAAACGGCACAGTTACGGAGGATCTGCTGTGCCGGGGACTGCCCTGGTGACAACCTAGAGAAGAGAATGGCAGGTTTGTGCCATTGAAACCGCTTGGGTGGGGCGTAACCTGCCCTACGTCTGTCTGTGACCAGGGTTGGCTTCGGGACATCTTTCTGGCGCCCAGTGTATGCACTACCACTACTAGGTCTTACTGAGAGCCGTTTTCCTCATAATTCTTAGTGACTTGAGTGAAATGCTTTGATATGCAGCTGTTTTGAAAATAACCTCTACTCATCACTATTAGAGACCTGTGTGCTCATTGCAAAACGAAGGGACAAACGTGACCAAAGTGAAAATGCAAAGCCCCCTTCAGATGTGGCCACCAGTGGCCTGAAAGACCAGGGGATGTCCAGACAGACCACAGCAAGCCCCTGTCAGTTGCTTGTAACCACCATTCTGTCGTATGAGTGTTCAGAATGTTCGATGTGACACGTGTTGACTGGTTGGTTCTGGCAGAGAACCGCAGTTTGCTTTTTCCAAATGACGTGATGATGGACGTTGTATGCAGATACTCTGGTTTATTTTATTTCATTTTTTTTTTCCATGTTAAGACCCTTTCATGTCAGCATGTTGAGATCTGTGTTTCCACTTTAATGTTCCATTAGAATTCAGGGAGTTCTTGAAATAAGGGAAAGGAAGAACTTTTCAAAGAAAATATTTAAAATATTGACATTAAAAAATTAAAGCACTGCACAGAGTGCTAGTCTGGAGGGAAGAAATGCACAGCACGTACCATAGATGAGGAGTCCACTGTACGTACCATGCTGGTGCTCAGCCGCTGACCTGAAGGTTGGTGGTTTGAATCAACCAGCCACTCCACGGGAGAAGGATGCAGTCTGCTTCCGTAGAGATTACATCCAAGGAAACCCTGTGGGCATTTACTCCGGCCTATGGGAGCTCTGGTGGCGTAGTGCCTAAAGCATTTGACTGCTAACCAGAAGGCTTGCAGTTCAAACTCACCAGCCACTCCTCGGAAGGAAGATTGGACACCCCAAGGAGGGAGGGGTCGCTATGAGTCGGAATTGACTCAACAGCAGTGAGTTTGGTGGTGGTTGTTGTTGTTGTTATGGGGTCACTGCAGTTGGAATCAACTCAGTGACAACAAGTTTGGTTTTGGGTATATAATAAACATGGGTCAGACACTGGGTTAATGTCTTTGTAAAGAGGCCTTATAAATAAAAGAAGCCCAGGTTTTACAGAAAAGTGGACAAAGAACATTCATTTTACAGAAGAAATTTAAATGGTTGGTAACCAGAAGACGTCCAGCCTCACTATGCACCTAGAAAATGAAAGTGGAAGTCTTTTTTGCTGGTAAGATTTCAGGAGTTAAGATTGATAATATACGATATTCATAACGATTTGGGGAAAATATATATATATTTTATTGGTGGGAGTGTCAATTGGTAAAATATTTCTAAAGAATAGTTTATTAGCATCTTCCAAAATTTTAAATACATATATTTTTGTCCCACTGTATCCCATCTTAGAAATTCAAGCTATCATAACTGGACAAGGTGGTGGTCAGGTGTTTCATGTTGTCACTTACACAGCCTGTGGGGTTGGTGCTTAGCTGTGTCTGCTGAACAGATGGCATATACACGTAACAGGAGGCTCATCAGTGTTTCCTGGGGTCGTCAGAAATTAGAAACCATATAGATGTCCATGAATTATCACGGAGTAAATCTGTTACATGCACCCAATCGCAGGAAGTCAGTAATCATTGTAGCCTTTACTGAGTGCTTATTCTGCAGAGCTGTGTAAGCTCTGTGGTGGTGGTGGCAGTCCAGTCGGTTCTGACTCATGGTGACGTCACCCTTGTGTCCATATAGGATTGCTGCCCATAGACTTTGAGGCCATCACCTCTCAGAAGCACATCTTCAGGCCTGCCTTCTGAAGCACCTCTGGGTGGGTTCACACCACCGACCTTTGGGCCAGTGGGGTAGGTGCTTAATTATACCCACTGAATAGATGAGAACGTTAAGGCTTAGGGACGTTAAGTAGTTTACCCAAGGCTGCTTCACTAGTAAGGACTGGATCCGGATCTGACACCAGAAGTTGGTGCTTCCAGCCAGTAAGTGGTACGTCTGTAAGGTCATCACTACACGTTACTGAATAGAAACCCCGTGTGACGTGTGCTCTGATGTAAGTGATTTTATGCATGGGTGCACAGCTTCCAGAGATTGGACTTAAAGGATTTTCTCCAGAATGCTGAGACTGGTTACCTCTAGGTGGTGGCAAGATGATCGGGGGGAGCTTTTTATACTCTATATAACACTGGAAACATAAAATACTTATTTTCTTTTGGTCCTAAAAAATAGGATAAAGCTTCCTTTTGGAGCTGTCCATACTCCTTGTCTCCATAATTCTGTTCCTAGGATTTAATTCTAAGAAAATGAAGCCTTCAGTACAAAGGATGTCTATCATGGAGTCACTTAATGATGAATACAACTGAAATGCCTAGCAATAAAATAGGTAATGGTGCGTCCAAACAGTGAGATACTTGGCAGCCAATAAGAAAACATGGGAAAATTACCAAACATAAAGTTGGTTTCAGGCATCATAGGAAAATTATATAACGTGACACCAGTTAGTATTTTCAAAGCAGCCTGTTTTTAGGCGTAGATGTATGTTGCAGCGTTAACGGTGTTGTCCTTAGGTAGTGGACCTAAATGTGAGTCCTTTTTTATACTTCTTTAGTGTTTCCAGGATTGCACAGTAAGTGTGCGTGACCGGGACAGTGCTGTCGTCATCTGTCTGTGGCAAGCTTGCTCTCGCTCGGCCCGCAGCCCCTCACCTCCCGTTTTCTGTGCAGGTGCCGGGCTGAGCGGACGGCAGGTGCACAGGACACAGGCGGTCTTCAACCACACTGAGGACTACGTGCTGCTGCCGGACGAGAGGACCATCAGCCTGTGCTGCTGGGACTCGCGCACGGCCGAGCGCCGGAACCTGCTCTCGCTGGGGCACAACAACATTGTGCGCTGCATCGTGCACTCACCCACCAACCCCGGCTTCATGACCTGCAGCGACGACTTCCGGGCACGGTTCTGGTACCGCAGGTCCACCACCGACTGAGCAGGGCTCCTCTCTCGGGACTCTGCCCCGCCCTGGCCGGCCCCACCGGCCTGCACCATAAGTCACTGCCCCGCCTTGGCGGGTTAGCTGCCACCTTCAGCTGCCCTGGATTTTTACAAAAGAACCTTTTGTACCTTGATGGCGAATCATGGTGGCAAAGGCCGGAAGCGTGGATCTGTGCAGTTGCCCCACATTCACTGGTGATCCCAGTTTCATCGGTTCTGTGAGTGCAGGACTCGCCACTTGTCTTAAATCAGTACCTCGATCATTTGCAGAGGGAGGGAGTGGTACTGCGGTGCCTTCTCGATCTCAGATGGCTCTGTCAGGAGAACTGGCCTGGGGTCACTTAGCTTATGTACCAGTGTGGCCACGCCCTCTTCTGTGTACTTACTTCCTTTCAGAATACAGTTTGGTGGATGCGTAGTCCTACAGCTGAGAATCAAGGGGTTGGTGCCATATTGAAACCATGACAGATAAGATACCACTTCTGCCCTGACATGACATCATTCTGATAATAAAAGCTCAGATTTGCGACTTTAGTGTGACATGTTTTTTACTTCAATAAAATTAACGGCCGGTTATTTCCTGAAGATTTCGAGATAAATCCTTCATCATAACCTCCCACGTTATCCTTCCATTACATGCTGTGCTTACCTTCTGTGAATGTTTCTGGTAACATTACAAGTTGATGAGGAACATAATTGAAAACTTGCTATGCCCAGAACTAATCAAAGTTAGATGAGCCTTCTGTTGCTCTCAGGGGTTGCTCCTCTTCACAGGTGATTAGTAACACCGACTGACACTGTGCTCCCGGAATTTCCAATCCCCTTGTTCAGTTCCCTTCATGAGCGGTAAGTGCTCATTGACACACAGGGCATCTGAGCCGCAGAGGATGTACGCAGTCTGCTGACTGATGCGTGTTGTCTTTCTCTTAAAACTTTTTAAGAATGTGATGGTATTTCTGTGGTTTCAACTCCCGCTAGGTCAGAAAATCCAGCTCATGAGATTTGGTTTATTTTTATTCCAAAAAACAAATAGTGAAGAGATGAAGTACAAGTACTTGCTTTACACTGTGAGAATTTTAAACTTCTTGAAGTTACTGCATAAAAATTTTGCTTCACTTACACCCTTGAGGGTCACTTTAACTCTTAGTCTGTGAACTGTTTCTAGCATGTGGCTAAAGCCCCCGGGCTCAGGTTGCCAGAGAGCTATGTTTTGATCCAGAGTGAGTTCAAGTTCCCGGTTTGGGTTTGCATCCCGGTGCTCCAGTGTTTGAACTTGGCCTTCTGTGGGTGCTCCTTTTGTGTGATGAGATGAAACCTACCGTGTGGGAGCAGGGTGACCAGTTCTACCCCCAGACAGTCACCACCTGAAGGGCCCCACCTCCTTTCCTGGCTCTTCTTCATTTCCAGCTGGAGAAACCAACACACACATGACCTTCTGTACTGTGCTCTGGCACGTGTGCTCGAGTGACCACATGTGCTTCTGATGCCAGGGCCCTGGGTCCTCAGGAGTTGTCACTGAAAATAACAGTATCTGCATCTTACAGTCTGGGGGGTAGTCTTGACCAGGCCAAGACGCCAAGCCTCTCACTCGGAGCATCACACTGGGCGTCTGGGAATTCGTCTGTGCAATTGCAGGGCCAAATCCTGTCACTTTAGCAAGTTGGTTTTGGTTTTCGTCTGGTTGGAATTTCTCCCCACTACTCCCCCCTCCCTTTGTAAATGACGACAAATTCTCACTTGTATCGCAAACTTCAGGGTAAGCCCTTCAGGTGACTGGGGACCCATTAGGGTCCGTTTGCCAAAGTGATGTAAGCCGTCTGGACTTGTGTCAGTATGAAGTCTTTCTTTTCCAGAAGACTTGGGTTCAAATTCTGTCTCCACCAACTGACTGTGACCTTGAACAAGTTTGTGCCCGTCCTTTTTTACTTTTTATTGCAGAGAGATTTAACTTTATACAAAAGTCAACAGGAAATAGAAACAAAGCTGATTAGTGGCTGCTGGCACCCAGGAGGAGTGGGTGAGTGACTGCCAGTAGGTGCCGGGTTTCTCTTGGGGTGACAGAACTCTTCTGAAATTAGATAAGGGGGATGGTTGCACAACTCTGAAGGTACGAAAGACAACTAACTGTGTGCTTTACAAAGACGGATTGTATGCCTGCTGAATTACATCTTGTTATGGATTGAATTATGTCCCCTGAAATATGCCCCTGTGCATTTAAGGAATGGTTGTCTGTTAGTTTATTGAGGCAGGATTAGGGTAGGGTATGTATTGGGTCAATCGTTTTTGAAATACAAAAGAGATTAAACAAGCAAGCAGAGGAGCTATGAGGGAGACGGATGCCACGGCACGTGAAGATGGGCCAGGAGCAGAAGCCCAGAGACAAGGACCTTCCTCCAGAGTCAACAGAGAAAGCCCTCTAGAGCCAGCAGCCTAAACGCGGACACAATGTGATGGGATGGATTCTGTTCAAGCCGCTCCCCTGTGGTATTTCTGTCACAGCAGCACTGGAGAACTAAGACACGTCTCAAAGCTGCTGTTAATTCTTTTAACCTTTAAAAAAGCCAACAGTAACTACAGTACAGTATAACGTCAGAAGGAAGGCTGGGCAGTCTACTTCCATAGTGATACCGCCTCGGAAACCCAAGGAAGAGTTGCTATGAGTCAGGTCTGACTCGACGGCACATAACAACAACAACACTATAATGAGCCACCATGCACCCATTTTTTTTTTACCCGTTTCTCGATCCACTTCCAAATTATTTTGAAGCAAAATCTCAGATATATTTTATCTGTAAATATTTCAGTATATATTTCTAAAAGATAGGGAGCTCTGGTGGCATAATACGTAAGGCAATTGACTGCTAACCAGAAGGCTGGCAGTTCAAACCCACCAGCTACTCCTCGGAAAGAAGATGGGGCAATCTGCTTCCATAGAGATGTCACACAAACCAAAAACAAACCCTTTCCTGTGGAGTCATTTCCAACTCACAGCGCCCCTAGAGGACAGACTAGAGCTGCCCCACAGGGTTTCCAAGGCTGTCAGTCTTTACTGAAGCAAAGCGCAAACCAAACCCGCTGCTGCCAGGTCAATCCTGACTCACAGCGCCCCTAGGGCACAGAGCAGAGCTGCCCCACAGGGTTCCCAATGCTGTCAGTCTTTAGGGAAACATCTCCATGCCTTTCTTCCACACGGTGGCTGATGGGTTTGAACCACCAACCTTTGGGTTATCAGCTGAGTGCTTAACCACTGTGCCACCAGACTTTTAAAAATAACCATACAACCCTTATTAACCTAAAAACATAAGCATTATTTACTTTATGTCAAGTTTCCAGTTTCCTGGAGCCATTAAGATGATTTGCTTGCCTTAGAATTAAGGTCCAGATATGACCCTTACCTTTTGATTGATGTGTCTCTAAAGTCTCGTTTCATCTGTAGATTCCACCTCCCACTTTTCCTCTCCTTGTGGTTTATTTGTTGAAAAAACTAGGTTGGTTGTTCAGCCAAATTATTGAACCTCCCGCCCTTGCCTGATCCTTCATCAGTGAAAAATGTGAATGCTAGTACTGTTGTTGTTAGGTGCTGGAGAGTCCCACTCACAGCAACCCTGTGTCCAACAGAACGGAACACCGCCTGGTCCTCGCCAGCCTCACAGTCCTTGCCGTATTTGAGCCCATCGTCACAGCCACCATGTCAGTCCATCTCGTTGAGGGCCTTCCCCTCTTTGGTTGACCCTCCACCCTACCAAGCATGACATCCTTCTCCAGGGAATGGTCCCTTATGACAACATGAAAACGTAGGTGAGGCAAAGTCTGGCCATTCTCGCTTCCAAGGAGCATTCCAGGTGCACTTCCTCCAGGACAGATCTGTTAGTTCTTTTAGCAGTCCACAGTACTTTTAGCATTCTTTGCTAGCACCACAACTCAAAAGCATCAATTCTTCTTTGATCTTTCTTATTCATTGTCCAGCTCTCACATGCATATGAGGCAGTTGAAAATACCATGGCTTGTGTCAGGTGCACCTTAGTCCTCAAGGAGACATCCTTGCTCCTCACTTGAAAGAGGTCCCTTGCAGCCAACTTGCCCAGTGCTATATGTCATCTAATGTCCTAACTGCTGTTTCCATTGGTGTCGATTGTAGAACCAAGCAATGTGAATTCTTTGACAACGTCAATCTTTTCTCCATTTATTGTGATGCTGTTTATAGGTCCAGTTGTGAGGATTTTTGTTTTCTTTATATTGAGATGTAATCCATACAGCAGACTGTATTCTTCAATCTTCATCAGTAAGTGCTTCAAGTCATCTTTATTTTCAGCAAGCAAATTTGTGTCATCAGCATATCGCAGGTTGTTAATGAGTCTTCCTCCAATCTTGATGTCATATTCTTCTTCATATAGTCCAGCTTCTCGTTATTTGCTCGGCATACACATTGAATAAGTATGGGGAAAGGATACAACCCTGACGCACTCCTTTCTTGATTTCAAACCATGCAGTGCCCCCTTGTTCTGTTCGAACAACAGCCTCCTGGTCAATGTACAGGTTCCTCATGAGCACAATCAAGTGTTCGGGAATTCCCATTCTTCTCAATGTCATCCACAATTTGTTATGATCCACACAATCAAATGCCTTTGCATAGTCGATAAAACACAAGTAAACATCTTTCTGGTATTCTTTTGCTTTGAGCCAGGATCCATCTGACAGCAGCTATGATATCCCTTGTTCCACGTCCTCTTCTGAATCCAGCTTGCACCTCTGGAAGTTCTCTGTCAACATACTGCTCCAAACGTTTCTGAATTATCTTTAGTAAGATCTTACTTGCATGCAACATTAATGATATTGTTCGATAATTTCCACATTCTGTAGGATCACCTTTCTTTGGAATGGGTACAAATACGGATCTCTTCCAGTCAGTTGAGGGCACTAGCTACCATTTAATGCTGCTGTTTAGATTAAATGAGTCAATACACTCCAAGTGGTCAGAATAGTGCCCAGCACATA